TCCAAGGTCCCTTCCTTCCTTCTCCTCCCTCCCTCCCTCCTATCCATCCATCCTTCCTCTCAGAAAAGGTTTTTAAAAAGAGATTGGATAACCATTTGTCTGGAAAGGATGTAGGGTTTCCTGCCTAAGCAGGGGTTGGACTAGAAGACCTCCAAGGTCCCTTCCTTCCTTCTCCTCCCTCCCTCCCTCCTATCCATCCATCCATCCATCCATCCATCTTCCTCCCAGAAAAGGTTTTTAAAAAGAAAAACAATTGAAATAAATTCTGATCCCCCCCCACATTTTTGTATTGACAGACAATGCCCCCCTCTGAGGAAAGGGGGGTCGAACTTGAGAAGATGCTGCCCACTAGGGAAGGTAAGGATGGGATTGGGGGTTGTGTGAAGAAGAGGTGTCCCTTCCCACCCATTAAAACCTGCCTCACCCCCAGTCTTTCAATGGGTTTGGATCACACCTCCAACATCTTCAACCCCACAGCTGGAAATTGTAGCAAACCCCCTCTTAAAAGACGCTGAGAATTGAGAATGTTTTGCGTGGGGAGAGGAAGGGGGTGTGCCCCTCCCCCGCATTTATGCCTGCTCTAAGATGGGATGGGTAAAATTAATGGGGCTTTATGTATATTTATTATAAAACATTTATTACGAAATAAACGTTTTATGGGGTTCTGTGGTGTGGATTGTTAATGTAAGTTGTCCTGAATCACCTCTGGGTGATGTGGGTAACCATATAAATTTGTATAATAGAGGAAATAGATGGATAGATAGACTGATAGACAGACAGATAGACAGACAGAGGGATAGAGAGAGAGAGAGAGAGAGAGAGAGAGAGAGAGAGAGAAGAGATTAGAGAGAGAGAGAGAGAGAGAGAGAGAGAGAGAGACAAATAGATAAAGATATGATAGAGACAGATAAGAGAGAATAGATAGGTAGCTAGCTAGCTAGGTACTGTAGTTAGGTAAGTAATTAGGTAATTGATGATAGATAGATAGATAGATAGATAGATAGATAGATAGATAGATAGATAGATAGATAGATAGATAGATATGATTGATAGACAGACAGACAGACAGACAGATAGATATAGAAGATAGATAGATAGATGACAGATAGAGATGATAGATAGATAGATAGATAGATAGATAGATAGATAGATAGATAGATAGATAGATAGATAGATAGATAGATTGATTGATAGACAGACAGACAGA